TTCATCTCAAATTCAGATTTCAAATAATTTGCAGTTTCTCTTATTTCATCAAGAGTGCCTATTATGTTCATATCATCAACATAAACGGCTACAATTGCAAATCCAGAACTTGCTTTCTTTATAAATACGCAGGGACATATTTCATCGTTCTTATATCCCTCTTTAATCAAGTAATCACTTAGGCGGGTATACCACATCCTACCGGATTGTTTCAAACCATAAAGAGAGCGTTTTAGTCTGATCGCAAACGCACTCCGTGGTTTAGAGTCACTTGATTTGGGTAAGGGAACACCATCTGGTACTTTCATGTATATCTCAGAATCAAGATCCCCATAGAGATATGCAGTAACCACATCCATAAGCTGCATTTCCAATTCTTCGGAAACTACTAAGCTCACCAAGTACCTAAATGTTATAACGTCCATTACAGGGGAGTATGTCTCCGCATAATCACTTCCAGGGCGTTGTGAGAAACCTTGCGCCACTAGGCGAGCCTTATATCTTAAGACTTCATTCTTCTCGTTACGTTTCCTGACAAATACCCATTTATGTCCTACAGGCTTTACACTTGGAGGGGCTAGCACTACCGGACCAAATACCTGTCTTTTTGCCAAGGAATCGAGCTCTACCTGGATTGCTTCTTTCCATTTAGGCAATCCGCTCTTTGTTGACATTCTGCAATAGAGCGTGGTTCGATATCGTCATGCTCTATTATCTCTAGAGCAACACTGAAAGCAAATACATCATTGATGTGTGTTGAAGATCTTTCTAGTAATATATGTGCACTTTTATAATTCTTTGATATTTCTTTATTCTCTTGAATCATATCGAACATCGGAGCGTCCTCCAGTAATGATTCATGGACATAACTATAATCAGAGATAATCTCATGGGATGGATGTTCAACATCGATGTGTAACGGATTAGTTTCTGTCGCACTCGTCCTTTTCTTCCTTGGATGAGTGTCAATCGAACCAAGTGGCCTTCCTCTCTTCCTTTGAGAAGCCACGGCCTCACCCACACTTCCACTCGGTGTGGATGTAATGCCTGTCATTATGGTATTTTTCTTTTTAGTTGGGACTTCTAACCTTGCAGGTGCATTTGCAGCAGGTATGTGTGATCTTGTCACTTTAGCAATATCAGTAAATGAATCAGGCATCGAATTTGCCACGTTTTGAAGATCAATTATTCTTTTCACTTCGCTTTCACAATGTGAAGTACGGGGATCAAAATGAGACAGTGTGGGGACACACCAAGATATTTCCTGTCGTTCGCTTGGAGAGTTTTTCTTATCTCCCCCTAACGACCGGACAATCTGCAAATCTAGCAGTAAAAAGATCACCTGTCAAAGGTTCTATATAGCGAATAGTGGTTGGGGATTCATATCCAACATAAATACTTAATCGTCTTTGAGGACCCATTTTAGTGCGCTGTGGGGGCGCAATCGGCACATACACTGCACAACCAAATATCCGTAAGTGTGAAATGTCAGGCTCATAACCAGTCACCAACTGGTATGCAGAGAATGGTTGTGAAGCAGTGGGTCTCAAGCGAATAAGTAAAGCTGCATGCAATATGGCATGACCCCATGCAGATGTGGGCAAATTAG